TAATAATGTTTTTAATCAGCCACCTTTGATGATGAAATGGATACTGCATGCTGTAAATAACAAGCATGATGCCTTCCTGAGGGATATTTCATACAAGGAGCTTGATGCCCTGAAAGATACTGCCTGCTGTAGATAATCTTAATACTTTCTTGAAGGATACTGCATGCTGTAAATGATTAGCTTGATGCTTTATTGAGGGATACAGCATGCTGTAAATAATTAGCTTAATGCCTTCTTGAGGGATACTGCATGCTGTAAATAATTAGCTTGATGCCTTCCTGAGGGATACTGCATGTTGTAAATAATTAGCTTGATGCCTTCTTGAGGGATACTGCATGCTGTAAATAATTAGTTTGTTCCCTTTGTGAGGGAGCATGCTGTAAATAGCTTGATGCTTTCTAGAGGGATACAGCATGCTGTAAATAATTAGCTTGATGCCTTCTAGAGTGATACAGCATGCTGTAAATAATTAGCTTGATGCCTTCTTGAGGGATACTGCATGCTGTAAATAATTAGCTTGATGCCTTCTTGAGGGATACTGCATGCTGTAAATAATTAGCTTGATGCCTTCTTGAGGGATACTGCACCCTGTAAATAATTAACTTGATGCTTTCTGGAGGGATACAGCATGCTGTAAATAATTAGCTTGATGCTTTCTTGAGGGATACAGCATGCTGTAAATCTTGATGCCTTTTTGAGGAATACAGCATGCTGTAAATAATTAGCTTGATGCCTTCTTGAGGGATACTGCATGCTGTAAATAATTAGCTTGATGCCTTCTTGAGGGATACTGCACCCTGTAAATAATTAACTTGATGCTTTCTGGAGGGATACAGCATGCTGTAAATAATTAGCTTGATGCTTTCTTGAGGGATACAGCATGCTGTAAATCTTGATGCCTTTTTGAGGAATACAGCATGCTGTAAATAATTAGCTTGATGCCTTCTTGAGGGATGCAGCATGCTGTAAATAATTAACTTGATGCCTTTTTGTGGAATGCAGCATGCTGTAAATAATAAGCTTGATGCCTTGGGGGATACAGCATGCTGTAAATTATTTTGATGCTTTCTTGAGGAATACTGCATGCTGTAAATAACTAGCTTGATGCCTTGAGGAAGATCTCCATCTGCAGATTTCCTGTATATCTGTATACTTGTTGCTTTTATAGATCGATATTGGAAATTTTTATCAGAATATAGGATGACGTTTAAAAATACCTAACATGAAAAAAATGTTTTAATCAAAGAAATGACAATTCTTGTACTTTTATGACTGTAAGATTTGAACCTTATTACTGTGTTGGGCAAGACAACTTTTCTGAATTAACGGTTGTATAAAAAAAAGACTAGCATTAAAATATGATTTTTTAGAACAAATATCTGAAGATTTAAAAAAAGGAATTTATTAAAGAATCTAATAAAATAAGAAATATAACTTACATTTGCATTCATTAAAAAAGTCAGACCAAGATAAGCAAGAGTCATATGAAGAGACTACAGTCAAGAAAAATTGTTCAGGAATTCTAAACAAGATCATTTCTTATTTTTAACCACGGAGTATTGAAACCATTTCTAATATTCTTGAGCAATAAGATTTTAAAATTGTGGCAGCCATACTGAATGTATTAATGTTATTATTAAGGAAAACAGGACACAGAAAACTTTTGGAGAAAACTGTGTTGGTATGACCATACATTCAGGAGAATTAAAGACAAGATATTCAGTATGTTTATTGTGGAAGCCATATTTGTGAAGTCAGATTGGCTTACTGTTTTTATTTATGACCTCAATATATATATATAATTAATTATCTGGTGAAAACCCCATGTCAATGTTTTATCTTTAGAAGGAGTGGTAGTAGTAACAAGGTTTTAACTGTAGCTGGCAAGGTGACCACACTTGATAGTAAATTGGCATCATTTTCATGTAGTGCCAACCAGACATCACAAGTATTCTGGTGAAAAACTAGTGTTGATGTTACTTTTCAAATAGGAGAAGTAGTAATAATACTTTTAGATGGCTGCTGTGGTGGTTGTATTGGATATCAGATTGGCACAATTTTTATTTAAGGCCAACTATACACCAGAAGAAGTCTTCTGTTGAAGACCCATGCTGACATCACTTTCCATTCAGGAGTAGCAACAACAGGATTGTCAAGATGGCTGCTGTCGTGGATATCAGATTGGCACTAATTTTATTTAGGACCAGCTGGATATTATGAAAAGTCTTGGAGTGGAAACTTCATGTTGATGGAGTAGCAATAACGAGATATTCAAGATGGCCACTATGGATTGGAGGCAAAATCACTTTCATTTAGGACCAACTAGATATCCTAAGAAGTCTCATGTCAATATGACTTTCAGTTCAGGAGAAGTACAAGATTATCAAGATTGCTGCCATGGTGTCCATAATGGACATCAGAGTACTAATTTCAGTAGAGGACCAGCTACTGAATGCTGGGAGCACTATTTCATGACACACTCGCCATATATATATATATATATATATATATATATATATATATATATATATATATATATATATATATATATATATATATTTCTTTTATCTTAATTATATAAAGAATGATTTTAAAAAATTAATATAAATATCCAAGAAAATGATAAATACATCCAAAAATGAAAGGATGAATTATAATCAAGGTAATACAAAATAGATTGTTCCTAAATTTAACTTCTGTTGGTCAAAAACCTCTGTCCATCATGTCTATTGCCCATTAGCAGATTGCTATTGCTCCAAAACTACTTGGAGGAAAATCATGAAAGAAGTCGATGCACTCTGACACAGCAAATAGCAATATTTACTTTTCAGCAATAGACTTCTTAGGATTTTGATATTCTGAAATGTACTGATATGACATCCATTATGGCCACTATATCACTGATCTTGAAATCTTATCATTGCTTCTTTTGAAGAGATGGTCATATTGACATGGAGTCTGGATTAAAAGACTTCTTATGATATAATGATAGTCTGAAATGAAAATAGTTTTGATCTCTCTTAAATCTTTTTATTATATCTCCTGAATGGATGATAATATTGACATGGGGCTCAGATAAATACTATTTATAACATGTAGATTGGCCTAAATGAAAATTGTTTTCATTTGACATCCAGCATGGCAGCATGTTAAAAATTGTATCAGTGAGCCTTGATGAATGATCAGTTGAAAAATGTTGTTTTCACTTAAAGATTATCTCAAAAGGATGCCATTCTGATGTCGAGCATGGCTTCCTTCATGAACATCTTGAAAATTTTGTTAATACCCACTTCACCTGAGAAGATGGTCATATGAACATAGGGTTTTTACTAAAACACTTTTTTAATTTGTAGTTAATCCTGTATTACAATAATGCCTTGACAACCATCTTAAAATTTTCATATAACACTATACCAACATCTTGCAGGTAATTTTTTTATGTGACTTGCAACTTGGCAACCATAATGGCCAAATTTAAATTAATGTTGTCACATACTCCGTAACCCATCTTGAAATAATAGTATCTATGACGTAACTAAAACAACTCTTGCACTATGTAATTGGTCCTCACTAAAACTGATGCCTAAGCAGATATCCTATATATGATAAAGGTTTATTAAAGTTTATATTTGTATATGATACTTTCAATAGATTAGTATGTACTTAGGAGCAATTTCCCTTACAAGCCATGATGGAATAGGTTGAACATTGATGAAAACTATATGTACTTTGCAATCTCTGCTTTGATTGAAAATGTTACAAGGAAAATTATTACGATTTTTATTTAAAAATTAAACCAGTATATATATATATATATATATATATATATATATATATATATATATATATATATAAAAGCAATCAGTAACTTTTTACTTGGTTTCTATGGTAACCAAGTTGTTGTTAGAGAAGCCACAAACAACACAACTTTGAACTAAAATGGATCTATAATTGCTCAGTATTTTTTTTTTAAATTAGGTTTTGAAAATATTTCCACACAGTGGTTATAAAAGCCAAAACATTACTAGATCAACTGCTAAAGCACATCTTTTATAAAGAGTGTTGCAGAAAATTTATAGTCTTTCAGTTTCAGACCAAACAAATTTGTATTTTTTTTTAGGAGGGAAGGTGGAAGATGCAAAAAAAATGCATTTCCACTTGAAATGTCTTAGAATTAACATTTCTGAAATTGTGATCAACATAACCCATTTTTTGGGAGGGTGCATCAAAAAAATATTTACTGCCCATAGTTATGGACAGAAAATGATTGCTGGTGTAAAAAAAACAACAGAAATTAAAATACAGTGTATATTTATGATATTTAACCTGAATTCATTTTAAATTCACAATAGTTCACAAAGGGACATCTTATATATAAGATTCAAAATAATTTTAATATATCCATGACTTGATGGAATATCAAAAAGAAAGTACTGGTGGAACCGAATGAAATTCATAGACCAATAGATCAAAGGATGTAAATTAGCAAAAATTATTCCATTAATAAATCAATATCCTAATTCCTCAAGATGTTAAGTGATAGACAGGTCAGTGACCCAATTCCTTCCTCAGCATACTTTTATTATGGTTAAGATCCAATGATAATTTTGCCAATATTATGGGCATAAGCTTATTATCAGACAATAGATATCCTTGAAAAACAAATTTTTATCGTCAGATAAATACAGCATTGCAAATGGCAATACGATTTGTTAATTAGAGGTGAAAGGTAGATGATTTAAAATGGATGTTACCATTCAGGATGGTTGTGTGTGTGTGTGTGATTCATATTTTTAATGAAACTTTAACAATTTTCCAGTCATATTGCTATTCTGTCTGCATTGTAGTAGTTTGTAGTGATGTCTAGCACTGGGGCATCATGCTAGATATAGCATCATGTCCCACCCAGTCACATTATTGTGACACCAGGATGACCAGTCTTAACACTACCTCTTACTACTGGGTGCCAAGCAAGGTAGCTGCTAGTACCATTTTTGGTATGACTCTGCAAGGTTTCAACCCTTGACATCCTGCATCTAAGGCAGATGCTCTAACCACTAGCCACCAGAGCAGTCTGCACATTAAATAATTATAACAGTAGCAGCCAAAAGCCATCACTAACATGCTCCAAGAACTACTTTGAAACTGTGACATAACTACAGCAAGATATTTTGTATTTTTAAAATGACCCATAACACTGTGGACATTCCAGCTGAACTACACCATATGCCTACTGATAACAAAAACAAGCAAGCCAACACCTACAGGATCATAGCCATCACCTACAGGATCATAACCATCACCTACAGGATCATAGCCATCACCTACAGGATCCTAGCCAACACCTACAGGATCATAGCCAGCACCTACAGGACCATAGTCACAATAACACATATCTACAGATACTTGTTCTTCTCAAAAATTATCTTTGTCTGGAAAGCCCTACTACAATACTTGAGATCTTATACCATTCTGGGCCAGTTCAGAGTAGATCTTACACCTCTCTTTTTAAACAGTCACTCAACCATATACTCTTTTATTTGTATAGATGGTTTTAATCTGTACAGTCTGCAATTCTTCATTTTTGAAAGAAGGATCCATAAAGTTTGATTAGTGATAGTAATGGAGATAAGGCATCAAAGATGATTGCTAAACTGTATTTCAGTGAGAGTCACTCAAGCAAGACAAATTTATTAAAGTGGCCTTTTTCATTTTCAATACAGAGTGCTGCTGTCAGCCTGGTAATAAGTATATTCATGTATTGTAATTATTTGACCTGCCTCAAGAGGAATGGAATTGTAGTAATGACATACATATTAAGATAATATGATCATTTGTGTAAGGAAATATAAATTTTGTTAACATCTGAGAAGGAAGTGATGATGAAGTTAAGTGTTTTTGCCCGGAACAAGGGTGAGGCTTTTCTTTAGCTGGACTTTTGGAAAGTCTATAATGAAGTCTCCTTGAAGATGCATTTCATTAGTGTTGAGTGTAGCTGCTCTATTGCAGTTTTAAGGAGATGGTTGCTGACTAAATTTTATTGAAATCCAGTAGAATTTAAGTGGGAGGTTGCAGAAAGGAAAATGAGTAATTTTAACATTTGACTGTAATATGATATAGAATGCAGAAAATGTAGATATTTAACACTGACAATCAAACTCAACCAAGGTCTATTTAGTATCATGCTGTATAAAAATTGTTTGAAATCCAGTAACAGACAAGCTATTGTGCATAGATAAAGGTGAGTAGGTGTGACAACAGTCATAACCCTGCAAAATGGTTAACTAGAAGCTGAAAATTTAATCCTGCCAAGATCACATCTATAGAAAGTTGCAAATTTGGTTGAAATCTAATAAAGAGTTATAGTGCTTAAATAAATTGAATTAGTATGTCAACCAGGGGTACTAACTCTGCTAAGTAAATATGTACACAGCAATATCAAGCAAACCAACTGGTTGAAAGGCAATTATAAATAAAGGAGTTACTGTTACTGTTCAGAAATTGAAGTTGGTAAATCCAACAGTCAGGGGGTATAACTCTGCTATATGACAAGTAGAAAAGTGACAAACTTTGCTGCAGTATCAAACTGCATACTAAATTTAGTTGAAATCCAACAGGAATTGTGGTACAAAAAAATGATACTGTGTTTAACAACCTGCTAAATGATAATATAAAATGCTAGCAATAAAATCCAGCCAAGGTTTCGTTAATATCAAACTGGATATAAACTAATTGAAATGTAATGATTTTGGTAGTTATTATGCAAAATTGCAATTGCAACAGATAGTAGAAAGGACTAAATGAAGGATGAATGAAAAAAAAAAAAAAAAAAGGGAATGGACAAATGTAAGACCCAGTTGAATATCTCCATTTTCCATGAAAAACAGGCAGAGAAAAAGTAGATCACATTGGTCTACAATGTATGAATATACAACTTGACCAGGTTTATGTTGAGTTAAGCAATGTAAGAATATGGGACTTGAGCTGGTTATGTTGAATCCTACAATGTAAGAATATGTTGCTTGGGCTGGTATATGTCTAATCCTATAATGTAAGAATATGGGACTTGGGCTTGTTATGTTTAGTCCTACAATGTAAGAATATGGGACTTGGGCTTGTTATGTTTAGTCCTACAATGTAAGAGTATGTTGCTTTGGCTTGTATATGCCTAATCCTATAATGTAAGAATATGGGACTTGGGCTTGTTATGTTTAGTCCTGCAATGTAAGAGTATGTTGCTTTGGCTGGTATATGTGTAGTTCTATAATGTAAGAATATGGGACTTGGGCTTGTTATATTTAGTCCTACAATGTAAAAATATGAGACTTGGGCTGGATTATGTCTCACCCATGTGACGGAAATCTACCTGTTTCTGCTAATCTTACTTTTCCTTTCTCAGTCTGGTAATCTCAGACCCATCATCACCTCAGTCATGGTGTCCACGTGCTAGGAACTACTTTGAAAAAGAAACCCATGATATCTTTTGATGTGACTAACAGTAAACCAAGAAAAACAGCAGCAGATATAAAACAAAAAGAAATTTACTCATAAAGCAACTTATGGTCTCTTCTCTCTCTCTCTCTCTCTCTCTCTCTCTCTCTCTCTCTCTCTGGTTTTTGTCTAGTCCTATACTGTAAGAATGTGGGACTTGGGCTGGTTTATGTCTAGTACTACATTGTAACATTTATTAATGATAGGGGGATAGACATCATACTGCTTTATTATTCAATACCATGACATTCTCTTCCAACTTCCTGGTAAAGGAAACTAGAGGCCATAATTTAAAAAAAATTCATAGCTGGCAGCCCATATTGATACTGTTTCATAGCTTAGTTCATGATACTCTATTCATTTTGATGGCTTTTTCTATACTGAAGACAGCTCCATAGCTGTACTGTTGAAAATGTGTCAACTGGTATTTGAGGTGAGTGAAGAGCAATGGAAGTCAAGAAATGCAAAATTTGATTGAACTAAGGGTTTATTTTCTTTAGCTAAATGAATATATGTAATCATATTTACCACATTTTGATTACCATGGAGATTCTGATAGCACTGTGCTAAGGAGGAAATAAATGAAAAAGAACAACTAATTCATAGGTAATATTTATTTCTGTGAAAACTCTACTAAAAGTCATACATTTATTTACTGTATAGTAGTATCAATATGCTGCAGTAAAAATTCAGAAAAATAGTTCATTTTAAAAAGTTAAGTTATATAAATGTCTACTCTCTAGTTAAGTACAAATTCACACACATAAATATTTTGCTTTGATTTCTAATTTGTGCCCAACAGGTAATAAATGGCTGTTTAAGTAACTTTCAACCTCGAACTTTTTCTTCTAGTCGCTTTGTATTCATTTAATTTTGATGTTTCAACTCAAAATCAATTCAAATGGTTGTTTTAAAAATCAGTCTGTTTTCTTATGCAAACAGTAAAATTATGAAAATTTGTAATAAGAAAACCCAAACCAGATGCTTCATTTTTTTGCAAGTAGAGTAAGAAACACAAATCTGAAATTTTATTCAAATAACAAAACCATTTATGCAAAATATCTTAATTGATCTAATAGGTTATTTACAGTATAAAAAAAAAATCTGCTGAATTTTGATATTACAATAAAAATTCCAAGTTTAACAGCAAATTTACCATATTTCTCAAAAAATATATTGCCTAATATTTTTTTAATTGTCCCTTTTTCTTCTTTCTTTGATCATTTTTAACATCTTTAAACTAATTTTGAGTATATACATTGTAGCCATTACTTAATGGCAACATGGCAGTGAAAGTTGGTGACATATGACGTGCTGTTAAAAGCCATTCAAACTTGCTGCCTTACATGACAAAACATTCATTTACATGCAGGTGTTGAGATTATCTTCAGATTTTTCCATTATAAATTATTAACAGGAACATATTTTCATGAGAAATACATAACTAAAATAATACTGATATTAAAGTGGAAAAGTAATCTATATAGTATATTATATATCTGATAAGCAAAACTTATCACAGCAAAAGAAAAATATTTCTATAACCAGGACCACCCCAAAACAAGCACCACCAGCAAACCATGGGAAGTGTTATTACATTGTTATATTATTACACTGACAGGAAAAAAAAACTAACAATGACAGAGACACAGTCTATCAATTTGGCCTCCTGTAGAATTTCACTGATGCATTTTATTCAATGCAAATTTAAAAAATAGTTTCAAACTATCAATAATCTCTTACTATTTAAAATTCTATACAACTTTCCTTTTTCAATCTTCCATGCAGTCTTTACATAATGACTTACATTCCAAAGTCAATATATTTTATTCTGTGACACAAGTTGCTATTTTGAATTAAATCTTGTTTGTACTCATTTATTATCACCAATTAGTCAACTGGCAAGATAACATGAGGTGTAATTAGATCACTATGTTACTAGGGTTAATTTCCATAATAAATGAAGTTATATTCATTATCAGCTATAGAAAATTCCATGATTTGCATGTTTATGCTAACTTTATACACAAATAAATTTGTACAAAAGGTGTAAAATATCACAAGAATTTTGTAAAGGTTCAAGAAAAAACTGGACGGAGGTGAAAAAAGCTCAAAGATAAATATTTAGAACTCATAGAATAACAGTTGTATGAAAAAGTTTGTCATCACAGACACTATACTGAATTATATGTGTATATAACCTGTGCATTAAACTAAAAACAATTAAATACACAATGATTACAAAAATAACAAACCTGTCCAGCCATATGATGAGGTTAACTCTATTCAATATCAGCAGCAATGTCCGAATTCCCTTCAAATGCCTTGTTACATTGCAAGGAAAAAAATGGCAAGCTTTTCTTAACTGCATCTTACATTAACCTTTACAATACAGCAACACAAAGCTGTAAAAATTTCTTAGACTACTTTCATAATTCCATTTTGTTTTCCAATTAAATACCAGGACAATACGAATCTGCAACAATTTCAGCATTTGCTTTCAGAGCCACACTGCATTATCCAATCAAAAATGTGTATTCATACTTGTCAACAGTTGACCTCAGCCTCTTAAAAATCTATTGTA